GGCAAATCTGAACATTTTTTTTGAACGATGCATCTTTTGGAGTCTAGACTAGCTAGGTATCATTAATCTACCTATTTAAACACTAAACTAGCATTATATCCATCATCAATCCAAGGGTGGGAGTTCATAGAGCCCACCATCAAAATTTTCCGACATGAAATAAAATAAATAACATGTAATTTTGGCAAATAATTCCACCACAATAAATCTGTCATCGGCTAAACAGAATTTCCAGCAGCTAATTGGTCATAACCCAACTTTTTACTCGGCTAAAACATGATATTAAGTACTCAATTTCAGCATGCAAATACTTGACTAGCTAATCAGATCATCCAAGTCATTGTAGGAATTCATAGAGCCCACTCACCAAGTTTCCATTAAAACTCAAAAGAGCTACCATCGGCTAAGCTGGAAAAAAAATTGCAGCAGCTATGTTTCAACATTTTTGGTCAATTCATCCAACGGATCAAGTACTTTACAACTGAATATCTTACAAGACTTAAGACACATATATTTCATGAATTAACTTATCTTAACCAATTAACACTTCCAGTTCACAATTAAGTTCAAACAACAATCATAAACCTCAAAATTTCCAGGTTCAAACTCACGTTAGTTCACAAAATTTTCCAGCAGCTTGGGTGTTCTTAATTCAGCTTTTCCTCGGCTAAATCAAAGTGTTAAGGCTCAAATTCAACATGTCATCACTTAACTAGTTAATTAACATATCTAGCTCAAGAATTAAGTTCGATTAACAACTACCAATTTTCCCCAAAATCCAGAAATTTTCCCAGTTAGCCTCGATTGATCATGCATGAAACAGATTTTCTGTTTTCGTTTTGTTTTCTTGGTTAGCCGAGTTAATCATCCTCATTCCAGCCTCAATGTCATGTTGTTAGCTAGATAAACATGGATATCAACTCAGATTATCACATTTAATTACATTAGACTGCATTTCAACATTTCCAGCTCACGGTAATTCCATTTCATCAAACAGATTTTTCTCAAACTTCTGATTTCAACATCCGATCGAATAACTCTACATGCAAGGCCATAATCTTCCTATTTTCACTTAGCTAATCACCATGCATGCTCAGATGATCTCAGGGAAACAAAATTAAAGCTGCAACTCCTCATCCATTCTCGGCAGAACCAAATGCTACCGAAACAAATTTTTCCTAAGTTTTGATTTCATCATCCGACTGCACAATCAACATGCATGTCCATAGACAGTTCAATCTACCACTAATCAACTTATTCTAGTTCAGTAATTACCTAACAATGAAGGTTATACGCACGGCAGAAAGCTGAAGTTTCTCCCCTCTTGATTCACACGTGACTGGATGTGATGTTCTTGGTTGCAGAGGTTGCAGTAGTTGCGGCTGGAATTGATGGAAATGGTGATGATTAGCAGCTGGGTGAGGTTTAGAAAATGCAGAGGAAACTCACGCACGGCCTCTCCCTCTCTTCCCTCGAGCTCACGGACAGAAACAGGAAAGATTGCAGCTCGCGATTCCTTTCTGGTTCCAGCCTCTGGTCCGAAAGGAAATGGAAGCTCTCACACATTCACTTCCGGTCGATGTTTACGAGGTGAAGGATGAAGTGTGGTCTGAGATGAATGGTTGCAGAGGATATGGAGTTGCGGTAGTGGTTTGTGATTTAGAAATGAAGTAGAAAATATGGTGCCGCGGTTTTGGAGAAGGAAGAAAGAATGGTTTACGGTTTTGGAGCAGAGGTTGCGTATCGAATTGGATAAAATGTGATTGGCCGATAGTTGTGGTGATTAAATTGTTGTCAGAGGTTTCGTTTGGTTTGCATGGAAATGTAAGGGCATTTTAGTCTTTTCACTTTGCTCCCCAACCTCAACTTAATTTCTCAAATCCAACTTAATTCTAAAAATTATCCCCAAGCGTGATTTAAACGCCTAATTATACCCTAATACACCTAAACCATTTTTATCGAATAATTATCGATTAAACTTGAATATTGAGATTCCTAGTAATTCTTATATTATTTAGCGATTAAATTAATTATTAGAATTTCCAATTATTATTTCTCAAGGAATAGAGTTAGTCTAACTCGAAATTTATCGATTTAGTAATGTAAAGTCAAGTGAAATAATAATCAAATCCAAGAATGTCAATTTGCACATAAAAATTATTTTTACGCACTTATTGTGAAAACAAAGAAAGATAAGAATATATTTATCGAATTTTTCACACCTTAATTATGTTTAGTATACTTGTATCATGTTTATCTAAAATTTATAGGCTTTGTCTCATAGTGAACATTCTTATTAGTGTTTAACGTTATTCACTAATTTAGAATTAGTTATAGAAATTCAAGAAATTTTATATACTTAATCTACTCAGGTAACATTAATTTTCAACATTAAGAAAACTAAGTATTTTAGTATTTTATTTTAAGGCGATAAATTAATCTAACTCAAGAAATATTAATTTAATATAGCAAAACGGAATAATTCAATATTGGCACAATTATATTATTTATTACTTAAAAATTATCTCTACACTTTTATTTCAAAACAATTAATTACCATTCTAGAATTCGAAGAAATTAATGATTAGATCAATGAAATAGTTTACCATCGAAATATGAAGTTAATGTAACAAAACCACGAAGTTTAGTAGTTTAGCACAATTCTTTTATTTTGTATATAACGTTTAATTCTACATACTTATTTAGAAACAATTTGACTTCGTGCTAAAATTTATTAAAGAATTAAAATGCAAATAAAATATGCACTGATATTTATGTCTATTTTTCAGGGTTCTCACATCCTCCCCTCCTTAAGAGAATTTCGTCCTCGAAATTCATACCTTCTGAAATCTCGGATAACCTTGAACCATGTGATGTGATCATGTCAGGTGTTCGTTCAGACGCCACTGGTCGGTTCCTCCTTCCATTGACTTGTCGAGGGACAGTTCCATTTCCCTGTTGAGTAGTGGTTTCTCGTGGATACCTCCTTGGACAGTCATGAACTTTATGACTAGTACTCCCACATCCCATACACTTTCGTCCCTTTAGCCAACAGTTTACTTCAGTGTGATTCGTCCTTCCACAATATCCACAAATTGGACGAGGTGTTGTGACCTGACTTGTTTGCGAGGTTTTCTTTGATCGTGTCTGTCCTACTGAAGTCTCTCGCGACATAGTTCCTTTTGGTTCCTTTATCCTGAGTGGTGCAGGAAGTAACAGTCCTACCCCATCCACTTCTTTTCTAACTTTGGGTGGTGGTCCATTTTCTCCTAGTGTACTGTCAGATGCATCTCTTTTCCTTGCTTGAAAAGCTCTCAGTTGAGATTTTGTGATTTCTACCCTTTGCGCTTTTTCGAGAGCGTCGCTCAATGTTTCAACCTGTGCTGCGGCAAGGGCATCTTGGATTTCCAAATCTAATCCTTGGATAAATCGTCTTATTCTCTTCCTTTCAGTAGCCACCAATTCTGGGGCATACGTAGATAACTTCGTAAAGCGTGTTTCATACTCAGCTACACTTAAAGTTCCTTGACGAAGCTTTATGAAATCATCTTCTCTCTTTTCTTGGACTAGTGGTGGAAGAAATTTTCCATTAAATTCTAGGACAAAGTTCATCCAAGTTCTCGGAGTTTGTTCCCTTTCCCACTTATTTCTTATAACGTTCCACCATGCTCGAGCCGGTCCTTCAAGTTGGAACACAGCGAAATTTACTTCTCTCTCCTCGGAATAATCTAGTGCATCAAATATATTCCTTATATTTTCCAACCAATTCTCAGCTATATCGGGGTTTGGACCTCCAGAAAATTTAGGAGGGAAAAACTTTTGAAATCTCTCTAAAGCCCTATCCTCTCCTATTTCTTGGTTTCCCCGTCCAACACTTTGACCTTGTTGAGCTACTAAAAGCTCTAGTATATCCGTCATGCGGTGTAGAACTTGTCCCATTTGGTCATTTCCTCTCCCAGCACTGGGCTCGGCATTTTGGTCAATATCGGATCCATTATCTACTCTTTCATTTCGGGGTTGTCTAGGTTGACGTCCCTTTCGTCGTCTCCCAGCTTCCATTCTCACAACTAGTCTCTACAATTATGTGAAAATGACTCACTAAACTAAAAATTATCTATGCACACGTATTTTTAACAATTTTCAAAATGAGCAATAAAACTATATCCACAGATAACATTTTCACAAATAGCACATTAACAGTTAACATAGAAGTTAAACTAGTCTCAATTAGGTTGCATACTATTACAAAATTAGAGCTAATCAAGTCATAATACAAGTTGAAATCAGAGGTCATTTATCCAAAGTTTAAAAATCTTTAGCAAGCCAACCAATAACTAAAGTGCATTTATCTCTAAGAATAACCAACCTTGGGATTTCTAGTTAAAGCCTCAAGTACCATTTTCAATCTCAGGGAATATGTACAACTGACTCACTTAAGCGTCAAGTGGGAACCAAGTCAATTCGCACTAGGACTGCCCATCTCCAGATGCAAATCAACTCAATCACCACCATTCCTCAAAGAAAATTTCACAAAATGTCTCAATCAAGCAATCGATCTAAGATTCACATTCAATTTCATATATATACTTACGAAGATTACAAGCCTAGAGGATACCTCGAATCTTACAATTTACCCAGTCAAATTCGATCTTATAGATATCAGCTAGTACCAATGTTCAAAAACTCAACTATCACTTTTCAAATCAATTCTCACACGATTCTCTTCAGTTTCTTACCATATAAGAAACCCTATTGTGTAAACCCACTTAAAAACAAACACTTCAATATTACTAAATAAATCATCAAGTATTAAGATCACATTCCACTACTAAACAATCAAACTCCACAGTCTGGCATCTTATGCTTAAAGTCTAAGATACACTACAAAGATCTAGAGCCTAAGCTCTGATACCACCTGTGGTGACCCCACTTCCCCCTAAGGTGAACCAGAGGGTTGGCGGGCCATCTGCCTAGCTCTCGCCAGGACTCACGCAAGCAAGCTAGCAAAAATCCTTCCGAAGTATAACCTAATCTATTACAACATCGTTTCCCTCCAAATAGGCCGGTTTCTAGAATCACATTAACTTCAGAGATAACGGTTCCTTAAGATAGCCAATGTCGATTCTTAAAATATCTTCCCGAATACAACCCAAGAAACAAAAAAAAAACAATTCAAATACATCCTTACAAGCCAAGTAACAAATTCATACAAGCCACATACAAATCCAGGGTTTACACTTTTCCAACTTCAAGTGGCAACCCGAAACCAAAGCTACATTGTTTAATTCAAACTACATGCTTAAAGTACAAGTAGATCTCAAGTCTTCCTCAGTTGTCAGAACCTGTAAAAGAAAACCACAACGTGGGATGAGCTACACAGCCCAGTGAGGTTCCAAGACGCTCTAACAGTTCAAATAGGTCAGGTAAGTTGTGCACATCATATGCATGATTCGGGGTTACACAATGGCATGTTACCATGAGGTGATAATCATTACATGGGTAATTGCTACCTTCAAAACACATGTAGAACTAGTACTTTTGGAATGAATGGCCATATAAATACATTTTCATAAATTTTCAGTCAAACAAATAGTGGCTCGTCCGACTAGAAGAACATTACAAGGATTGCTTCATCTCAGAGGTTAATGCTCATGAGGAGTCTTACCCGAGAATGCCAACTAGGAGAGCAATAATATTATTAATAGTAAAGCAAGCACGAAAGGATACGGTGTTCCAGTGGAACTTTGTCGGTCATCTGCACCTTATAACTCCCGGATCCCCACGGTTGACTGGCCATCACCTTATCCCTCCAGTGGTAATACTCGAGTATACCGAAACGGTTGTCCAGGGTTCCAACCTACCCGACCGAGCCCAGTCCTGTCTCGAGTAGGTCAGTAACCGAGGCGGGGCCCAAGTTCAGCTTATAGCTTACAACATGCACAGGTAACAAAGTAATTCGACAAAAGTAAAATTCATCATTTGAATAGGTCGAGGAAGATAAAGTACACACTCGCCTAACAATGATGGACAACTTCATATGAGCATATAATTTATGATAATCAAATAATCAGTAACCACATAGATTAGAAAACGGTAAGTAAACACGGTTAACGGTAAACGATAAACGGTAAACGGTAAACGGTGGTAATTACGGTTAATTGGTAGACATATGTCATTTTAATAGGCCGCCATTGGCCGTTTTGCACTTTTACCACGTAAGAGTCGAGGAGATTCACTCCAACGACGCAACCACATTTAGATTCACAGATTCATTAGAAAATATTTCACACACTTCACCACTCGAACGGCTAGTGTGATAAAGTACACACTGCGCACTTCGATGGATCGGAACTTATTTCCCAAATTGTCACATAACGAGTCACAAGAGCACTTTAACCAAATAAGCATAAAATAAGCAGGCTAAGCACATATTGAGTTTACAAGATTATTTGATAGGGTTAATCATTTAACCAATTCATGTCGATATGCAATGCATATATATATTTCTTAAATAGGCACGAGTATGGTAAATACTTAACGATCATGAAATGAGCATGTCCTAGACTTACTCAATTACGTATTCCTATATGGAACACTCACCTAGTCAAACAAGGGCAATAGGTTCAATTTGAAGTTCAAGTGTCCTCTGTCGGATCCTCTTAAAGGTCCTCGCGTGCGCCTGAACGAATAGTAATAGTCTATCATTTACAATTCCTACTATTGTTGAAAATCGTGTCATAGTACAAACTTAGGAAAAATCTCGTGAACAAGTCTTAATTATCCTAAATCTAAATTCTCAAGCGGGGTTTCAAGGTACAAGAGAAATTAAGTCTACATCATGAAATTCAAGGATAAGACATTTGAATATTATCGAAGGAATAAGGAGTACTTGAAAAACTCCATTTCCTTGGAATACGGAAAATTTCAGTTTTGATGCAATACTTTGAAAAATCGTAGCTCACCTTTTACATGTCAAAGATTGGAAAACTTGGTACCGTTGGAAACTTCCTTCAAAATGCTAAAAGTTCCTAGAATACACTTTTTCATGATTCTAAATGGAAGATAGTCAAAATGGGCTCAAAGTTACTGTTTTGGTTCATAAGGCAGATTTAAGTTAGTTTTTGGCCAACTTTGGAAATTCGGCAAAATTCACTTGCTTGGAAATAGCTTTTGAAATTTGCAACTCTATTAGTGTTGTAATTCAAGAGTATAACAAAACAAACGGAATGAGGAACGGAGTTTTGAGCACCAAGATACGGTAGCTCAAAGTTACTAAAATTTTCTTGTTAAACAAGGGTTTTCCAAAATCAAGTCTCGAACTTTGGTAATTTATTTGACCCATGAATCGGTCTCGGAATAACACCATAATTAGCAGTATAATACTACCATATAAGGGTTGTTCCTCTACCAAATTTCATGGAAAAATAACTTCGGAAAGGTGGTCAATCAAACACCTAAAATTTCGCAAATACTAAGACAAAACTGCCTTGAACCTTTTGTTTTTCCATTTCAGACATTTGGTCAAAGAAACATTCCTCCAAACCTGGTTCATTTGTTTAGGCAAAACTTAAAGAACGTTCATGGTGCATTTGGTAAGTGTTTAGCATCAAAATATTCAGTTAGCAAGTCTTTGCCAAACCTTGCATCAAATCTGTCTAAAAAAATCAGGGTTTTCAAGGACAGAGTAGGTTTCATATTTTGATCACAGATCACTCAAATTAACTCAGAATTTGGCATGGTTTAAGGCGTTGGAAAATACATTCATAGAGCTATAATTTCACAGAAGAAATCATTTTGAAATTCGGAACACAACTAGCTCGAATTTGAGTCACAAGTTGCAGCCTCAGCATTTTGTTCTTGTAAAGCAGAGAAACAGAACAGCCGACTTAAAATAGTTGGTTTGGCTCACATACATGGAACCAGAATGTGAATTTTATATCGTCGGAAAGGTTGGAATGTCTAGTTTCAAATGCCGCTGACGGCACTCGATTTCGACATCGGAGTTCAAAATTATGGCCGAAATACGAAAGCTGGTCAGAGCATTTCGGGAATAGTTCCAGATTTACTAGCTTTGTTAAATCGATTTATTTGACCAACCAAACCTCAATATTTTTCAATGAAACTTTGTACACCATATATTCAACATATCAACATGATATACAAGTCATGAAACTCTCAAAATTTTGCAAAAAGGGTTGCGATTAAAACAGGGCAAATCTGAACATTTTTTTTGAACGATGCATCTTTTGGAGTCTAGACTAGCTAGGTATCATTAATCTACCTATTTAAACACTAAACTAGCATTATATCCATCATCAATCCAAGGGTGGGAGTTCATAGAGCCCACCATCAAAATTTTCCGACATGAAATAAAATAAATAACATGTAATTTTGGCAAATAATTCCACCACAATAAATCTGTCATCGGCTAAACAGAATTTCCAGCAGCTAATTGGTCATAACCCAACTTTTTACTCGGCTAAAACATGATATTAAGTACTCAATTTCAGCATGCAAATACTTGACTAGCTAATCAGATCATCCAAGTCATTGTAGGAATTCATAGAGCCCACTCACCAAGTTTCCATTAAAACTCAAAAGAGCTACCATCGGCTAAGCTGGAAAAAAAATTGCAGCAGCTATGTTTCAACATTTTTGGTCAATTCATCCAACGGATCAAGTACTTTACAACTGAATATCTTACAAGACTTAAGACACATATATTTCATGAATTAACTTATCTTAACCAATTAACACTTCCAGTTCACAATTAAGTTCAAACAACAATCATAAACCTCAAAATTTCCAGGTTCAAACTCACGTTAGTTCACAAAATTTTCCAGCAGCTTGGGTGTTCTTAATTCAGCTTTTCCTCGGCTAAATCAAAGTGTTAAGGCTCAAATTCAACATGTCATCACTTAACTAGTTAATTAACATATCTAGCTCAAGAATTAAGTTCGATTAACAACTACCAATTTTCCCCAAAATCCAGAAATTTTCCCAGTTAGCCTCGATTGATCATGCATGAAACAGATTTTCTGTTTTCGTTTTGTTTTCTTGGTTAGCCGAGTTAATCATCCTCATTCCAGCCTCAATTGTCATGTTGTTAGCTAGATAAACATGGATATCAACTCAGATTATCACATTTAATTACATTAGACTGCATTTCAACATTTCCAGCTCACGGTAATTCCATTTCATCAAACAGATTTTTCTCAAACTTCTGATTTCAACATCCGATCGAATAACTCTACATGCAAGGCCATAATCTTCCTATTTTCACTTAGCTAATCACCATGCATGCTCAGATGATCTCAGGGAAACAAAATTAAAGCTGCAACTCCTCATCCATTCTCGGCAGAACCAAATGCTACCGAAACAAATTTTTCCTAAGTTTTGATTTCATCATCCGACTGCACAATCAACATGCATGTCCATAGACAGTTCAATCTACCACTAATCAACTTATTCTAGTTCAGTAATTACCTAACAATGAAGGTTATACGCACGGCAGAAAGCTGAAGTTTCTCCCCTCTTGATTCACACGTGACTGGATGTGATGTTCTTGGTTGCAGAGGTTGCAGTAGTTGCGGCTGGAATTGATGGAAATGGTGATGATTAGCAGCTGGGTGAGGTTTAGAAAATGCAGAGGAAACTCACGCACGGCCTCTCCCTCTCTTCCCTCGAGCTCACGGACAGAAACAGGAAAGATTGCAGCTCGCGATTCCTTTCTGGTTCCAGCCTCTGGTCCGAAAGGAAATGGAAGCTCTCACACATTCACTTCCGGTCGATGTTTACGAGGTGAAGGATGAAGTGTGGTCTGAGATGAATGGTTGCAGAGGATATGGAGTTGCGGTAGTGGTTTGTGATTTAGAAATGAAGTAGAAAATATGGTGCCGCGGTTTTGGAGAAGGAAGAAAGAATGGTTTACGGTTTTGGAGCAGAGGTTGCGTATCGAATTGGATAAAATGTGATTGGCCGATAGTTGTGGTGATTAAATTGTTGTCAGAGGTTTCGTTTGGTTTGCATGGAAATGTAAGGGCATTTTAGTCTTTTCACTTTGCTCCCCAACCTCAACTTAATTTCTCAAATCCAACTTAATTCTAAAAATTATCCCCAAGCGTGATTTAAACGCCTAATTATACCCTAATACACCTAAACCATTTTTATCGAATAATTATCGATTAAACTTGAATATTGAGATTCCTAGTAATTCTTATATTATTTAGCGATTAAATTAATTATTAGAATTTCCAATTATTATTTCTCAAGGAATAGAGTTAGTCTAACTCGAAATTTATCGATTTAGTAATGTAAAGTCAAGTGAAATAATAATCAAATCCAAGAATGTCAATTTGCACATAAAAATTATTTTTACGCACTTATTGTGAAAACAAAGAAAGATAAGAATATATTTATCGAATTTTTCACACCTTAATTATGTTTAGTATACTTGTATCATGTTTATCTAAAATTTATAGGCTTTGTCTCATAGTGAACATTCTTATTAGTGTTTAACGTTATTCACTAATTTAGAATTAGTTATAGAAATTCAAGAAATTTTATATACTTAATCTACTCAGGTAACATTAATTTTCAACATTAAGAAAACTAAGTATTTTAGTATTTTATTTTAAGGCGATAAATTAATCTAACTCAAGAAATATTAATTTAATATAGCAAAACGGAATAATTCAATATTGGCACAATTATATTATTTATTACTTAAAAATTATCTCTACACTTTTATTTCAAAACAATTAATTACCATTCTAGAATTCGAAGAAATTAATGATTAGATCAATGAAATAGTTTACCATCGAAATATGAAGTTAATGTAACAAAACCACGAAGTTTAGTAGTTTAGCACAATTCTTTTATTTTGTATATAACGTTTAATTCTACATACTTATTTAGAAACAATTTGACTTCGTGCTAAAATTTATTAAAGAATTAAAATGCAAATAAAATATGCACTGATATTTATGTCTATTTTTCAGGGTTCTCACATCCTCCCCTCCTTAAGAGAATTTCGTCCTCGAAATTCATACCTTCTGAAATCTCGGATAACCTTGAACCATGTGATGTGATCATGTCAGGTGTTCGTTCAGACGCCACTGGTCGGTTCCTCCTTCCATTGACTTGTCGAGGGACAGTTCCATTTCCCTGTTGAGTAGTGGTTTCTCGTGGATACCTCCTTGGACAGTCATGAACTTTATGACTAGTACTCCCACATCCCATACACTTTCGTCCCTTTAGCCAACAGTTTACTTCAGTGTGATTCGTCCTTCCACAATATCCACAAATTGGACGAGGTGTTGTGACCTGACTTGTTTGCGAGGTTTTCTTTGATCGTGTCTGTCCTACTGAAGTCTCTCGCGACATAGTTCCTTTTGGTTCCTTTATCCTGAGTGGTGCAGGAAGTAACAGTCCTACCCCATCCACTTCTTTTCTAACTTTGGGTGGTGGTCCATTTTCTCCTAGTGTACTGTCAGATGCATCTCTTTTCCTTGCTTGAAAAGCTCTCAGTTGAGATTTTGTGATTTCTACCCTTTGCGCTTTTTCGAGAGCGTCGCTCAATGTTTCAACCTGTGCTGCGGCAAGGGCATCTTGGATTTCCAAATCTAATCCTTGGATAAATCGTCTTATTCTCTTCCTTTCAGTAGCCACCAATTCTGGGGCATACGTAGATAACTTCGTAAAGCGTGTTTCATACTCAGCTACACTTAAAGTTCCTTGACGAAGCTTTATGAAATCATCTTCTCTCTTTTCTTGGACTAGTGGTGGAAGAAATTTTCCATTAAATTCTAGGACAAAGTTCATCCAAGTTCTCGGAGTTTGTTCCCTTTCCCACTTATTTCTTATAACGTTCCACCATGCTCGAGCCGGTCCTTCAAGTTGGAACACAGCGAAATTTACTTCTCTCTCCTCGGAATAATCTAGTGCATCAAATATATTCCTTATATTTTCCAACCAATTCTCAGCTATATCGGGGTTTGGACCTCCAGAAAATTTAGGAGGGAAAAACTTTTGAAATCTCTCTAAAGCCCTATCCTCTCCTATTTCTTGGTTTCCCCGTCCAACACTTTGACCTTGTTGAGCTACTAAAAGCTCTAGTATATCCGTCATGCGGTGTAGAACTTGTCCCATTTGGTCATTTCCTCTCCCAGCACTGGGCTCGGCATTTTGGTCAATATCGGATCCATTATCTACTCTTTCATTTCGGGGTTGTCTAGGTTGACGTCCCTTTCGTCGTCTCCCAGCTTCCATTCTCACAACTAGTCTCTACAATTATGTGAAAATGACTCACTAAACTAAAAATTATCTATGCACACGTATTTTTAACAATTTTCAAAATGAGCAATAAAACTATATCCACAGATAACATTTTCACAAATAGCACATTAACAGTTAACATAGAAGTTAAACTAGTCTCAATTAGGTTGCATACTATTACAAAATTAGAGCTAATCAAGTCATAATACAAGTTGAAATCAGAGGTCATTTATCCAAAGTTTAAAAATCTTTAGCAAGCCAACCAATAACTAAAGTGCATTTATCTCTAAGAATAACCAACCTTGGGATTTCTAGTTAAAGCCTCAAGTACCATTTTCAATCTCAGGGAATATGTACAACTGACTCACTTAAGCGTCAAGTGGGAACCAAGTCAATTCGCACTAGGACTGGCCATCTCCAGATGCAAATCAACTCAATCACCACCATTCCTCAAAGAAAATTTCACAAAATGTCTCAATCAAGCAATCGATCTAAGATTCACATTCAATTTCATATATATACTTACGAAGATTACAAGCCTAGAGGATACCTCGAATCTTACAATTTACCCAGTCAAATTCGATCTTATAGATATCAGCTAGTACCAATGTTCAAAAACTCAACTATCACTTTTCAAATCAATTCTCACACGATTCTCTTCAGTTTCTTACCATATAAGAAACCCTATTGTGTAAACCCACTTAAAAACAAACACTTCAATATTACTAAATAAATCATCAAGTATTAAGATCACATTCCACTACTAAACAATCAAACTCCACAGTCTGGCATCTTATGCTTAAAGTCTAAGATACACTACAAAGATCTAGAGCCTAAGCTCTGATACCACCTGTGGTGACCCCACTTCCCCCTAAGGTGAACCAGAGGGTTGGCGGGCCATCTGCCTAGCTCTCGCCAGGACTCACGCAAGCAAGCTAGCAAAAATCCTTCCGAAGTATAACCTAATCTATTACAACATCGTTTCCCTCCAAATAGGCCGGTTTCTAGAATCACATTAACTTCAGAGATAACGGTGCCTTAAGATAGCCAATGTCGATTCTTAAAATATCTTCCCGAATACAACCCAAGAAACAAAAAAAAAACAATTCAAATACATCCTTACAAGCCAAGTAACAAATTCATACAAGCCACATACAAATCCAGGGTTTACACTTTTCCAACTTCAAGTGGCAACCCGAAACAAAAGCTACATTGTTTAATTCAAACTACATGCTTAAAGTACAAGTAGATCTCAAGTCTTCCTCAGTTGTCAGAACCTGTAAAAGAAAACCACAACGTGGGATGAGCTACACAGTCCAGTGAGGTTCCAAGACGCTCTAACAGTTCAAATAGGTCAGGTAAGTTGTGCACATCATATGCATGATTCGGGGTTACACAATGGCATGTTACCATGAGGTGATAATCATTACATGGGTAATTGCTACCTTCAAAACACATGTAGAACTAGTACTTTTGGAATGAATGGCCATATAAATACATTTTCATAAATTTTCAGTCAAACAAATAGTGGCTCGTCCGACTAGAAGAACATTACAAGGATTGCTTCATCTCAGAGGTTAATGCTCATGAGGAGTCTTACCCGAGAATGCCAACTAGGAGAGCAATAATATTATTAATAGTAAAGCAAGCACGAAAGGATACGGTGTTCCAGTGGAACTTTGTCGGTCATCTGCACCTTATAACTCCCGGATCCCCACGGTTGACTGGCCATCACCTTATCCCTCCAGTGGTAATACTCGAGTATACCGAAACGGTTGTCCAGGGTTCCAACCTACCCGACCGAGCCCAGTCCTGTCTCGAGTAGGTCAGTAACCGAGGCGGGGCCCAAGTTCAGCTTATAGCTTACAACATGCACAGGTAACAAAGTAATTCGACAAAAGTAAAATTCATCATTTGAATAGGTCGAGGAAGATAAAGTACACACTCGCCTAACAATGATGGACAACTTCATATGAGCATATAATTTATGATAATCAAATAATCAGTAACCACATAGATTAGAAAACGGTAAGTAAACACGGTTAACGGTAAACGATAAACGGTAAACGGTAAACGGTGGTAATTACGGTTAATTGGTAGACATATGTCATTTTAATAGGCCGCCATTGGCCGTTTTGCACTTTTACCACGTAAGAGTCGAGGAGATTCACTCCAACGACGCAACCACATTTAGATTCACAGATTCATTAGAAAATATTTCACACACTTCACCACTCGAACGGCTAGTGTGATAAAGTACACACTGCGCACTTCGATGGATCGGAACTTATTTCCCAAATTGTCACATAACGAGTCACAAGAGCACTTTAACCAAATAAGCATAAAATAAGCAGGCTAAGCACATATTGAGTTTACAAGATTATTTGATAGGGTTAATCATTTAACCAATTCATGTCGATATGCAATGCATATATATATTTCTTAAATAGGCACGAGTATGGTAAATACTTAACGATCATGAAATGAGCATGTCCTAGACTTACTCAATTACGTATTCCTATATGGAACACTCACCTAGTCAAACAAGGGCAATAGGTTCAATTTGAAGTTCAAGTGTCCTCTGTCGGATCCTCTTAAAGGTCCTCGCGTGCGCCTGAACGAATAGTAATAGTCTATCATTTACAATTCCTACTATTGTTGAAAATCGTGTCATAGTACAAACTTAGGAAAAATCTCGTGAACAAGTCTTAATTATCCTAAATCTAAATTCTCAAGCGGGGTTTCAAGGTACAAGAGAAATTAAGTCTACATCATGAAATTCAAGGATAAGACATTTGAATATTATCGAAGGAATAAGGAGTACTTGAAAAACTCCATTTCCTTGGAATACGGAAAATTTCAGTTTTGATGCAATACTTTGAAAAATCGTAGCTCACCTTTTACATGTCAAAGATTGGAAAACTTGGTACCGTTGGAAACTTCCTTCAAAATGCTAAAAGTTCCTAGAATACACTTTTTCATGATTCTAAATGGAAGATAGTCAAAATGGGCTCAAAGTTACTGTTTTGGTTCATAAGGCAGATTTAAGTTAGTTTTTGGCCAACTTTGGAAATTCGGCAAAATTCACTTGCTTGGAAATAGCTTTTGAAATTTGCAACTCTATTAGTGTTGTAATTCAAGAGTATAACAAAACAAACGGAATGAGGAACGGAGTTTTGAGCACCAAGATACGGTAGCTCAAAGTTACTAAAATTTTCTTGTTAAACAAGG